TAATATTTTCTTTAGGATGTTTGAATTTCTATTTATGAGTAAGGGTGGTCTATAATTTACCTTACTCATCCTCTCCTTTTACATTAAGTTTTTAATATGTCAACATTTTTGTATCAAATTTATGATAGCCTGCCTCTTAAAATAAAATTATTACATTTTCTTATGTTGTTTAGAACAGTAAATTTAAGATTAAAATTAATTGTTCTTTCTATGTTTAATAAAACTTACCTGTAAAGCATCTGGGCCTAGTACTTTCTTGGTGGGAAGATTTCAAACACTTGATTCAATTTATTATGTCACTATAAGACTATTCAGTCCCAGCACTTTGGGAGGCTGAGGCAGGAGTTCGAAACTAGCCTGACCAACATGGCAAAACCCCATCTCTACTAAAAACACAAAAATTAGCTGGGCGTGGTGGTGCACGGCTATAATCCCAGCTACTCAGGAGACTGAGGCAGGAGAATCACTTGAACTCTGGAGGCAGAGGTTGCAGATCAGTGTGAGATCATGCCACTGCACTCCAGCCTGGGCAACAGAGGGAGATTTCATCTAAAAAAAAAAAAAATTATTCAGATTCTCTGGTTTTTCTAGAGTTGGTTTTCCTAAGTTATGTGTCTCCAAGAATTCTACTATTCATCTAAATTTTAAATGTTATTGACATAAAATAATTCATAATGTCCTTTTAGTTTCTGTTTAATTCCTGCAGCACAATAATCTATTGATTACTGAGAGTTATATTTTTAATGTCTCACTGAAATAGATTTCCCTATTTCTCCTTATTGATCTGTCCATTTTTACCTTATATATTCTGACATCATGTTACTAGCTGCATACAAGTTTTAAATAATTGTTTTCCTAGTGAATTATACATTTTGCCCTTATATAGTGGCTCCTTTTATCTGTAACAGTGCTTTTAATTTAAAGTGTATTTTTGCCTGATATTAACACAACTACTGCAGCTTTCTTTTGGTCAATATTTGCTTTTTACTATCTTTGACTTTAAATTTCTCTATGTTCCTATATTTTAAAGTTTACTATAAATATCAGACAGCCAGGTTTTAAGATTTTTTTTTAATTTTTTTTTTTCAACTTTTTTTATTGCATTTTAGGTTTTGGGGTATATGTGAAGAACATGCAAGATTGTTGCATAAGTAAACACATGGCAGTGTGATTTGCTGCCTTCCTCCTCATCACCTATATCTTAAGATTTTTATTTGATCTGAAAATCTTTTAAACTATAAAATATACTGTGTTTCCTCTTACATTTAAATCTATTTCCACTTTCTCATTATGTGTTTTCTACTTGTCCAATTTTAAGTTTATTTTTCCCTCCCTTCTTGGCCTATTTAGATTGATGTCTTTTTTCTTATTCCATTTTCTCTGTACTTGTTTGTGAGTTACGTGCTCTATACTTACACTTAAAGTTTATACTTTAGTATATTCAAGTTATCCTTATAACTTAAATATGCATTCATTTTTAACAGCCTAAACTTAATCAATACTTTACCTTTCTCCTAATTAATATAAAGAATTTAGATTGCTTTAACGCTGATCACCCCCTTTTGGCTTACATTGTGTTCCAGTATTTTAGTTATAGCTGATGGTCCCCATGATTTAGTCAACATTATTGTTTTACACTGTCACATTTAGATAGATAGATGATTGATAGATAGATAGATAGATAGATAGATAGATAGATAGATAGATAGATATCTTTGTTTACCTTTGTTGGGGGTTACAGACCTTCTTTCTTTTGTTTTTGTTTTTAACCCTCTTTCTGAAGTACATCCTTTAGGATTTCCTTCAGCAAATATCTTTTAGTAACAAAGTCATCTGCTTTTGTTTTTCAAAAGTGTCATATTTTCGTGATCATGGTAATGAGAGCACATGGACACAGGGAGGGGAGCACTACACACTGGGGTCAGTTGGGGGGAAATAGGGGAGGGACGGTGGGAGGTGGGGAGCTGGGGAGGGATAGCAGGGAGAGAAATGCCAGATGTAGGTGATGGGGAGGAAGGCAGCAAATCACACTGCCACGTGTGTTCCTATGCAACAATTTTGCATGTTCTTCACATGTACTCCAAAACCTAAAATGCAATAAAATAAATAAATGGGGAAAAAAAAGTGTCATATTTTTTCCTCATTCTTGAATAATAGTTTCACTGAGTAAAATTTTAGGTTTTCTCACTCAGTATATTGAATACAAAGATACTAGTATGTCTTGCTGGTGTCTTCTGGCTTCATTGTTGCTACTAAAAAGTCAGCAGTCATACTAATTGTCATTATTTTAAGATAATTTGCTTTCTTTCTCTGACTATAAGACCTATTTTTCTTCAATGTCCAGTAGTTTCGCTATGATGGGTCTAGGTATGAATTTCTTTTTAATTGTCTGGCTTGAGATACATTGGTCTTCCTAGAGAACTAAAAGGAAGCTGATATCCAGCCAACATACCCCTTGCCAAACCACGAACTCCGAGTCAGAGCCATCTCCAACCAAAGAAAATTATTATTTCCCACGCATAAATGTTTAATGAGCTGACCCAGTTATAAGCTCTTGGGCTGCATCTGCTCAGTGCCTTCCTCTAATTCACCTTCTTAGACGGAGGATCTTTTTGTAAACACACTAAGACATCATATGTTCCACACTGCTAGAGGTGAGCTAGTAGTATTCATCAATATGTATAGGGCACACAGCAGTGGTTTAGTGGTTTAGATGTCACTTTACCATTTCTCTTTGCCACAGGGAATTTGTATACAAAACTGGGTCTCTTTAGAAAGAAAGAAATATGTATTTTTGACTTTCAGTTAAATTTGGCAAAATTAAGCTTTTCTATCCCACTCTCTCTTCTGAAGCCAAAAAAAAAAAAAAAAAACACAAAACCATAGTAAGTAAAATAACTCTGCCTTTGGTAAAACTAGGAAACAATAAATATCCAAATCCTCAATCTAGAAAGATCAGCTGCCAAGTGCAATGAAATCTGAACCAAATCAAAGGGAGATACTGGAAAATGACTTGTGTCATTGCAGGCTCATAGCAGAAAATGGGGAAATGGTCTGAAAAACTAAACCATTATGCCTTTGCCCAGCGCAGAGGGGGCCAGGAACATCGCTGAGCTCTACTCTCCATGAAGCAGCTGGGGAGAAAGGGAGCTGAAAAGAAGGGTCACAGACCATTATCTTCATAGGCTCTTTGGGGTCAATGTGACACGGTAAGAATTAGCTCTGCAAGTGCTTATATTCAACAGCTAAAATTGAAGGCAAGTGCTAAATCTCTATACATGAGTTTCTAAATGAGCCAGGCAGGCCCACTGCTCAGCCCTGGTGGAAGTATTTCCTTAGGGCATTGTGGGGGGAAAAAAAAAAAAGTTCTAAGGCAATATCTTCAATCTAAGGTGCATGCAGTTTTAGTTCACTTCTCCAGTCTCTTAGCCTTGCTCTTCGCTAACAGACAGAAATCAGAAAAGAACAGTCTGCATTCATAGATAAGAAATAATGAGAAGCAAACCACTTTGGGACCTAGCCTAGGTAATATAAGAGAAAAAGAAGATACAGCAGATAAAGAATACACATCAGAAGCTCACCATGAATTACGGTGAAATTTTCAACAAATTATTGTCCATCATATCAACCAAATTGAAGAATCTATGGATTTTCTAAAGCAAATGCTCAGGGAAGACATGATGATACAATAGAAAGAAGTAAAAGAGAAGCTGACAGAACTCAGGAGATACATGAAAGTGGAAACTAAATTTTTTATAAAAATAAAAGCCATATTAGAAGAAGCAAAACCAGGAACAGACATTAATGGAAACATAGTTAAGCATGTAGAATTCTTTTTCTTCAGGGTGATACATTGTACAAATTTTTATTTTATTATTCTTTTTAATTGTACTATAGGTTCTGGGGTACGTGTGCAGATCTTGCAGGACTGTTGCATAGGTACATACATGGCAAGGTAGTTTGCTGCCTTTATCCCCCCATCACCTGTATCTGGCATTTTTCCCCATGTTATTCCCCCCCCCAACCTCCTCATCCCCAGCTGTCCATCCCTTAGCACCCCCCCCAGCAGACCCCAGAGTGTGATGCTCCCCTCCCTGTGCTTATGTGTTCACATTGTTCAACACCCACCTATGAGCGAGAACATGTGGTATTTGGTTTTCTGTTCTTGTGTCAGTTAAGCATGTAGAATTCTGACAGACTTGAGAAAGAAAGTTGAACCAAAAAATGTTAAGGGGTATAAGATAAACTATAAATAATAAAAGCTATGCATAGGAAATCCATAATGAAAATTATTTACATCTCTGAAGTGAACTGAGCAAATGAAGCAACAAGATAATATCCGGAGATATAATAGAAGAAAATGTTCCTATATTTTAAAAACCTTTACTCTTTAGATTGAAAAACTTCAGAAAGTCTAACACTGAGCCATATCTTGGTAAAGTTACTAGACCTGAAAGGTAAAGAAAGAATGGACATATGAAAGAATATTAAATGACTCATAATAAAGGGAAACAAATCAGATGGGCCTAACGCCTTCCCACTGCAATATTCAAAGCTGGAGAAAGTGGAACAAAACTTCCAAAGTCTTCAGAGAAAGAAGACATGACCACTTGGCAATGTTCAGTTCAAATGACATTTAAGGATATAGGCAATGACATTTTCAAATATGCAGGATCTCAAGGAATATATTAATAGTATCTGTGAGCCCTTCTTGGTGAAGCTACACAGTAAGAAATCCAACAATAGGAGATGAATGAAAAACTTGTGATAAAAAAGACTGATGGAAAACATTTAAACCACTTCAATACAAAGCCAAGGCTAGATAACCATCCAAAATGTAGACTCTATAGAATAATTGCAAAAGAGAATGTAAACATTATAAACCATGCATATACTTAATCCGTCTCAGTAACTAGTTTCCATAGACATGGAAATAACACATCTTTGAATCTCACTGTTTAAATGCTTTTTTCTTTGAATATGTAAGTATGCAATGCTTGTTTTTTTTTTAATCAAAGTATATATCCTTTTGTTGTTGTTGTTGTTGTTGTTGTATATGAAAATACTGCTTACCTGGCTCCTTCTTATTTTGTTGTGAGCCTAGACTTAAGGAAACTGTTCACAAGAAACCAGAGATTTTATTTGTGAGCCTACTCTTTACCAGCAGCAGTAGAATTTCCTATCTAAATGCAGAGAAAAATAAGTGAATCAGATTAAAGTTCATACCTAGGTTACTGACTTAAAGGCTACAGATAAATTTCTAAATGTGATGCCTGGAACCTAAAACAATGGCACTAGAATGCAAAGCATGGGAGCAAGAAATTTCATTTAAGGCTAAAGAGTTTTCACATAATTTACCAAATTTCATAGTCAGTTCATAATGATCTGAAGGTAAAGCCAGCCTCAGTCATGATTCTCATTCAAGGAGTCCTCCACAGAGCAAGTTCTCAGATCTTAGCTCATTTCATCCTCAAAACAAGCGTGGAAGGCAGGGATGTTATTATCACCATTTTACATGTTTTTAAAAAATCAGACACTCCAAGTGGTTAAGTCACTTACCCAAGATTATTCAGCTAAATCAGTCCTAATGGTTATGAGAAGTTGAGTGGGAATTTGAGACTTCAAGAGACACATCTTCAGCCCTCAGATGAACAATACTGGTTAAATTCCAACCAAATGTCATCAGATGAAATTTGGTTATCTTTACATCTGGGAAATTGTTAGAGGAAAACATCTGGATCAGACAGGAAATTCCAAGAAAAACCCAAGAGTATAAGTGTGGGAGTTCATTGTAAACCACCCAATTCTCAATGAAAATTTTCTTCTTTAAGAGTGTTAGAGACAGAGGTCAGTGCATCATGGGAATTGCCCACAGGAAATCAGCTCAATGGAAAAAAATGTGTTCCAGAGACATAAAATCGATGCTGCTCTGTTAATAGACGCCAATGACTCTTTTGAGACCTAAATCATGGAACATTCAACGTGACTCAGGGACATTCTGGGGAACACCTAATGAGACTCCCAAGATACCTGCTTTCTGGTCAGCCTACATGACCCAGAGGAAGCTGGCTTATGTGAGTGAGAGGTGCTGAGGTGCTCTGGGTAGTTAGGCCAGGGTAACAAGGATCCCTTAAAAAAAAAAAAAAAAAAAGAACTCAAGAAAAAATTCATAGATGGGGCTGCTGTGCCACAGTCTCCATTCCAATATGGACTCTGTGGACAAGAGCACCATGAATGATGGTTGATGCCTGCCATGCTGATCTAGAGATAAAGCCCCAAGATCGCTTAGATTCCTACTTCCCTTGTTGAAACCCAGAGACAGAGCTTTGTGCCGGTTAAGAACTTGCTTTATGCCATGGAAGGAAACAGTAATTTTTGGCTTATTTAAAAGAATAAAAAATATTAAAGAAAGTGATGGCCACTCATGGCCATAGCCTCCTTGAGCTTTGGCTGGGAATCAAGCTGTAGCTCCCCTCTCCCTGGTTGCTCCTCAGGCTTCAAGAGATATTTCAAAGGAATCCATCTTAGACCCTGCCAGCTTTGGGGAGGGCTTTCTGAGCATGGGTCTAGTTAAGATCCTGGGTGACTCTTTTGATTTCCACAAGATTTGCATTTCTTCCCAGAAGCTGCATGGAAATAAGCCACAGAAAGGGCAGGTCATGAAAAATATCCAAAACTCTACCTCACCAGCCAGACCAGCAGTGGTCTGTGCTTCTGAGAATTCTCTCACCATCAATATAATATTTAGCTAGGTCCTTGTGATTATTTCATTTCTGAGTCATCTGAAACAAGAATTCAGAAACCTGAGAGAACAAGAAAGAAATGTCAAATAAAAAATGAATAATAAAAAGGTCATTTTCAATTACCATATTAGATGTGTTCCTTTTTTCCATTGAAATTTTCTTCTCCAGTCTTTTGAAAGTAACCAAAAAATCCTAAAGAAAATATATGCAATGATTTCAAACCTAAAACTCAGAAAGAAATGATGCGTTAACCAGAAATCTTACAGCCACAATTTGTATACCTTCCTGTCTCTCAGTTCCTGCATCTAATCCACCACCAGGTCCTTTCAATTTTACCTCAGAAATGGCCTTCAAATTCATCCACATCTTTCCAACTCAACTACCACTGCCCTAGTCCAAGCTATTCTCACATTCGGCCTCAATATTGCCATGATCTCCTAACTCAAATAAATCCCTGTTTGGATTCCTGCTGTACCCACAGATAGATATTCCACACCAAAAGCCAGAGAGGATTACTTAGAATGCAAATATGATCATTTCATGCTCTTGGAAAAGTCTACAATGGCCAATAAAATTTTGAAAATATGCTCCCTGTTCACTTATTAGGAAAATGAAAATTAAAACCACAGTGATATATCTCTACAAAACAACCAGAATAGCTAAAAAATATTCGGTGCAAAACATCAAGTGGAGGTGAGTATGAGAAGAGATTGGAACTCTCATGCCTTGTTTGTGAGAATGTAAAATGGTATCATCATTTTGGAAAATGATTCTATAATATCTGCTAAAGCTGTACATACAACCATCCTGTGACCCTGCAATTAAACCATTAAGCATGTTCATCCAACAGAAATGCATATTTATCAAGACATGGTCATAAATATTCAGAGCAGCACAATTCATAACAGCCCACAACTAAAAACATCCCAAATGCTCATCCACAACCCAATTGTGTATTCACATGGTGAGAATGGACGATCTACAACTACTATAGACAGATTTCACAGACATTACTTTGAGTGAAAGAAGCCAGATAACAGATGATTCCATATGCATAAAATAGAAACCCAGGCAAACAAATACATGTTATAGAAGGTCCAAATGGTGCTGACTGGAGGGGTGTGGACTGGCTGGGGGTGCAAGGTGAATACTTCTTGGCTTCTGATAATGCTCTGTTTCTTGGTCTGCATGCTGTTTATGTGGATATTCAGTTTGCGGAAATTCAACTAACTATGCACTTATAATATGCACATTTTCTGTATATGTTTATAGCTAAATTAAAAGTGTTTAAATTACTCAGTGACTTCCCACTAAGGCAAAATACAAAACCCTTAACATGGGTTACAAGCCTGTAAGTTATCTATCGCCTGCCCTCAACTCCATACTTCTTCTGAGCTGCTAACCCCTTTCTTTGGTTAATAACTCCAGCCACACTGGCCATGAATCAGTTCCCTAAATATAGCTCATTCCTTCCCATCTCAGGGCCTTTGTACCTCCTGCCCCCCTGGCCTAAAATAGTAGCTGGCAAACTATGGCCCACAGGACAATTCCGCCAATCCTGCCTGCCATTTGTTTCTGTAAGTAAAGTTTTACTGGAATCCAGCCATGCCCATTCACGTCTATGTTATCTATAGTTGCTTGGTACTATAACAGTCACAGAGATCACAGGTCCACAGATTGAAAAGATTTGCTATCTGGTCCATTGTAGAAAAACTTTCCCAACCCCTGGCCTAGAACATTCTCATATGCCTACTCTACCCCCATCTGTCTAACGCCTACTCACCTTTCAGAATTGAGGAAAACAAACATGTCCTTTGTTGAAAGAAGCCTAAGTTCGTATTGGTTCAGTGAATGGAACCAACATCAACTCAATTGCCTAAATCAAAAATCTGGAAGTCAATTTTGACCCCTCCCTCTTCCTTAGCTTCCAAAGCCTATCAATTGCTCACTAGTGGGCCTAGGAATGCTCTTCCCCTTCACTTCAGACTTCTCACAAGTCATTCTGACTCACTATTTTAAGAGACAGGGTCTCACTATGTTGCCAAGGCTGGATTCAAACTCCTGGGCTCAAGTTATCCTCCCATCCCAGCCTCTCAAGTACCTGGGACTGCAGGTGCATGGCACTGTGCCCAGCTCCACTCCGACTCATTTGTTAAGATTCAACTTAATCATCTCCTGCTCGTGAAGCCCTTTCTAACAAGTGCCTACTAGGCAGCCGGAATTCTGTCATCCCCAATCCTTACAACATCTGTGTATTTGCCACAGTGCGGCAGTTAGTGTGGAGTCCTAATTAGGAAAAAGTCCTAATTAGTAAAAGAACTATGGGATACAGATATACAAACAGTTCACTGTCTCAAGCACGACAACTGTCTGGGCTGGTGGCGTGGGGGTAAAAAAAAAATGTACCAAGACAGTTGTAGATAAAGAAAGGCAGATTTACTAGAGAAAGTAGGAAAAGACTTTCTTGTGATGAGGCAATGGGCAGAATCAGCAGAAGAGGAGTGGACTGCCAGCAAACAAAGGCTTTTCCTGAGGTCAGGCTGGTGGGAGCAGGAGAAAGCAGGAAAGGGAAAGCAGATAAACTGCAAGTCTGTCTTTCTTCCTGGTCCAGGACATGCAGCCCTCCTGCACCCAACTTGCCACCAGAGACCTGCAAGTTCTCCCACTGCAGCCTTGGCCTCCTCAACGCTGCACAAAGCCCTCTTCAGCACACAGCATAAACACTCTTCTACAAAATCCCCAGCAAGCCTTTGTTTGCTGGCAAGCCACTCCTCTTCTGCTGAGTCTGCCCTTGCCTCATCGCTACAAAGCATGTTCCTACTTTGTCTAAGAAATCTGACTTTCTTTATCTACAACTGTCTGGCTAAATCGTGTTACCCCCATGCCACCAGCCCAGATAGTTGTGGCTCCCTCGTGATGTTAAGCTCTTTGTTTTTCTGTGTCCCATAGTTCTTTTCTGTCTTTTCATTTAACAGATACTTATAGATCACCTTCTATATGGCTGGCACTGATTTAGGCCCTTAGGAGTCACCAGGGAACAAAACAGATGAATATCTCTGCCTGTGTGGGCTGCGGAGCAGGCTCACGATGCACAGGTGAGCCCACTGCATCATTTAGCCCACTGCATCTTGGGCTGCAATTTCTACTACTTGCTTGAGTCCAGTGAGATAGAACACTCACTGCAAGTTAAGTGAAGCAACGTTTTTACTCACACACAGCAAGAAAGAGTGAAAGCCTAGAATTCATAGCAAGTCAGTTCCAAGGCTTAGAAAAGCTGCCCTGAGTGGATGGAATCTTGTCTTCATGTGCCTCACTTGCCCCACAGCTGAAGGGCCAGGAAAGCAGTCCACCTGGGTTTTATACCCTGGGGACAACATGATACACTGGGCTAAAGTATTGAAGGACATCTTGTTCTAGGAGGGACAAGATTGGAGCCCAGGATATTCTGGCCAGTTCTTCCTTGTCTCAGGATGTTATGCTTCCAGCATGCACCAGTTATTCTTGAGAACTACAAGTGAGAAAGGAGGAAGAACTAGGTCAGTCCAAGGAGAACTGTACTGCATGGTTCTTACATTCTAGAGCATCTGTGTCCCTAGGATTTAGCCAGGGTGTGGAAGACAAGTTCAATAAACACTCCTTGAATGAAGATATTTACACTGCAGTGTGGATGAGACAAGCATAGCATTTTTCCAGAGCACACGTTATAAAATGAGAAGAGCAAAAATGGAGGGAGGCAGAAGAGGGGGGATCCAGGGCATAGCCAGAGGAGGGAAGGAGATGGCTCCCACCTGGACCCAGACAATAGTTTCCAAACTAAAACCTGGGAAGCTTAGGAAAGAACTCATCTGCAGGCATTGTTCCCCGTATCATCTGCATTGATTTGTAGAGGGGCCCTTCTTGATCAGCCTGGGAATCTGCTTTTCCCACAGGGGGAGCTCAAGACCTGCTGCCCAAGAGGCATCTCCCCAGGCTATGGATACCTTGATCTCCATAGGGATACCCATAGCTTAAGGGAGGGGGAGTGATAGGCAGACCCTGAGCACCACCCCCTAACCCGCCACCCAAGCAATAGGGCAGGTCTCTTGCCAGAAAGCAAGAGACCATAATGGTCCTAGGGAGTCTAGGGGATGAGGATAATGGGGATGCAGTTCTATTATTAAACAACAAACTACTACATTGATCAGGAGACTTCAATCTAAAAAGATGGCTCCTAGAAGGGGAAGATATTGACGCAAAGGAGGCAGCAGGGTCCTTTTATTTTTGAGATGGAGTCTTGTTCTGTTGCCAGGCTGGAGTGCCATGGTGTAATCTCGGCTCACTGCAGCCTCTGCCTCCCAGTTAAACCTATCCGCCTGCCTCAGCCTCCCGAGTAGCTGGGACTACTCAGGAGCCTGAGGCAGGGAAATAGGCTCATGCCACCACACCCGACTAATTTTTTGTATTTTAGTACAGACAGGGTTTCACCATGTTGGCCAGGATGGTCCCCATCTCCTGACTTCATGATCCCCCCGCCTCAGCCTCCCAAAGTGCTGGGATAACAGGTGTGAGCCACCGCACCCAGGCCCTTTCTTAACATCTCTTTCTGACATGGATTTAGTGATTTCACACCATTTAGGCCTACGTATCAGTCCCCGACCACATTAATTCTCCTCAACTGTGATCTCCCATAGCATGGGGTGCTCACAGCACCCCCTGTTAATAAGGCAGGCTGGGAATGGAGAGGTGTGTATGAGTGACAGCTAGGCTAGGCTCCACCAATGACTAGGTCTCAGTTTCTTCTTCTCTAATATCATCAACATCATCATCATTCAGTACTCGCTATATGCCAGGCATTGTTGTAAGAACTTTATGTATCTAACTCATTTAATCCTCACAATAGTCCTAGGAAGTACATACTAGTACCATTCCCATTTTACAAAGGAAGAACCAGAAGCACAGGGAGGCTAAGTAACTTGACTAAACTAACATAGCTCCTTAGTAGTGAAGCCTGAATGTGAAATCAGGAAGTCTGGCCTCAAACTCCGTGCTCTTGGCAAATAGGTTCGATCTTGCTTGAAACACTGATTAGCATGTGGTGCTACTGAGAAGGGTCAGAATCCTCAGTAGGAAAGGTGCCATAGCTGATTAGCAATGCCTGCAATGGTCATATGGATGCTGTCTTTTTTATTCTTGTGTTATACAATGGCAAAGACACTCTCCCCCACCAAACTTCAATTAGGCTCTTCTGAGCCCTATTTTCAACTAGGCCTCTGCCTTGACCCCATCCTCTCTTTGGCCTGCCTCGCCCACTCCTGGAAGAATCAGCTTTGGTTAAGTTATGCTATTTTTTTAAAAGAAAAGAAAAGAATATCTCAAAATGTCAGTGACTTACAGCAGCAAAGGATTATTACTTGTTCATATTACATATGGGCGATGAGTCAACTACACATCTGCTCCATGCGTCTTTTTTTTTTTATACGGAGTCTTGCTCTGTCGTCCAGGCTGGAGAGCAGTGGCGCAATCTTGGCTCACTGCAACCTCTGCCTCCTGGTTTCAAGCAATTCTCTTGCCTCAGCTTCCTGAGTAGCTGGGATTACAGGCATAAGCCACCATGCCCAGCTAATTTTTGTATTTTTAGTAGAGATGGGGTTTCACCATGTTGGCCAGGCTGGTCTCTAACTCCTGGCCTCAAGTGATCTGCTTGCCTCGACCTCCCAAAGTGCTTGGATTACCAGTGTGAGCCACTGTGTCCAGCCCATATGTCTTCTTCATTCTGAATCTAGGCTAAACGGGCAGCCCCTCTCTGAGATGAACATCAATCTCAGAGGGGAAAGAACAATGGTGGACCTTCTGATGCACTTAGAGCTTATATTTACAAATGGTAAACAGAACAGGGTATTGACCAAAGCAAGTCAAAATGGCCAACCCTGATGTACTTGGCAGAAATGTAATTCATCCACAGAGAGGGGCACCTGCGAGGGGCACTGTGGCCATAAACCCAGTGGAGAGTAGCAGCCAACAACTGGGAATGATCATCTGATTTACCACAATGGGTGTCAAGTTCTGGCTCAGCTGTTTCTTCTCTGGCCTCAGTTTCTCAGCTGTAAAGTGTGTGTGAGTGTGAGTGTGTGTGTGGTGAGTGTGTGTGTGTGTGTGTGTGTGTGTGTGTGTCACGGTCCTGAGAGGAGTGAACCTCTAAGGCTTTTTCCAGTTTTAATGCTTAATTTTACAGTCCCACCCCAATACCTGAATTCCCCTCTTGCCTGTCCAGCTGGGTTTTAGAACCATAGATTTCAATGCCTCTTCTCACACTAATCGGAATTGTTAGCATATACCAACTATTTAGATAGGCCATTGGTTCTACATGTGACTTGAAATAGCAGAGTGCCCCCTATTCATCTCCCCTACTCTTACTGACTCAAAAGAAGTTCTGCTGACCTAAGGAGGCAACTAGGAAACTCAGGCTTACTGGCCCCCACACATCAGCATCTGCCCTGCTAACACAACCAGATCCTGGTTCCATCCACTGTTGCTGATAATTACTGGTGACTCCCCTTGAGATCCTCACAGCCATGAGGATGAGGGCAGATTCTATCCACCCTTCCTTAAGCCATCCAGCCTTGCTAACCCCCGCCCAGAACAAACCACAGCATCACAACACACATGTAAGTTTCTGTACCAAATGCTCCAAACAACCTCGGAGCAGTAGAAACTCAAGGGAGAAACAGAGGAGGAGCTCCATTTAAAAGGGTTTGGGGCCTTTTCAAGAGGATGGCCACTGTGGATGAGCCTCCCTCCCTTCCTCTCTCAGTCTCTTTTCCTAATGGATCCTCATTTTCCACATTCATTCACTTCAATGTCTTTCAATTTCGTTCACCCAACTGCTACCTTATTCAAGTAACCCCATCTTTTCCACAGAAGGAGGCAGTTCCTAATCTTTCAAAGGTCTACTGTGCTTTAAGGGGATGACCATTGCAACAGTTTGTGAGCAAGGCTCCAGTGCCACGAGGGAGGCCGAATGTGGGAGCTCCTCATCTGGGAATGCCGCTCTCTTTGCTACCCAGCAAGAATGGCTGCAGCTTCCAAAAGAGACTTTTGAGTTCATTCTTCCCTGAGAGAGGCATGGTAGTGTTAGCAGTTCCTGCCCTCACCTGCACAATTCCTCCACTTCCCTATCTTTCATACTGATCCTAAAACCCCCACATTTTGTGATGGACACTGAGATGCCCTGCCCAGAAGCCCCTCCAGGGGAATGACTTGTTGCCCCAACTGCTGGGAGGCTATCAGCAGACAGTCCTGAGCCCTCAGCCCCTTCAGATATTGCTTCAGCTTCAGAGTCCCCTCACTCACGGTCACACTCTTCCCGGGATAGCCAACATTCAAGGACTAATCAAGGTAGGGTATAAAGGCCTGGCCTTCTTGACCCACCTTTGGACAACTTTGAAGCATCATTCTAGTTATAGAGCCATGCCTGTCATTGGCCTCCCTTTGGCTCACTTCTGCTTTCTGCCTCTCCCTTTCATAAGTATTGATCCCCAGGGCTCTACTTAATAACATCTTGCAAGCTAAACTCTGTCTCAGAGTCAGTTTCCCATGGAACCCAACCTGCAACCAAAATTACCTCGGAAAACCACTGATACATGTATATAATACAATTAATACATGAGTCCTCTTGATCTTACTGCCGCCTATTACTCAAAATCAAGACTATCAGAAGATTTACATTTAGAGAAGGATTTCTCAACCTAAACACTATCTACAGTTTGAGCTGGACAATTCTTTGTTGTGGAGGCTGTACTGTGCATTGTAGGATGTTTAACGGCATTGCTGGCCTCCACCGACAAGATGCCGGTAACACCTTCCCAGTTATGACAACCAAAAATGTCCCCAGACATAGCCAAACTTCCTCCATGGCACAAAATCAGCCCTCAGTGAAAACTACTGATTTATGAGAAGCATCCCAGCAGGCAGATTCAGTACGCATGTAAAAGCATTTGGACACTGAACATAAATATTTTTTACTTAAAATGTAATGCCTCTTCTGAGGCACTTGCCAGAAAACTCCATCTCCAATTGCCTTCTCAGACTTGCTTGTCAAAAGCACAGTTGAGACAACAGATGTTTGAGAAAACTGGCCCAAGGAACTTCTTAGCTCTCCATTTCTCTAAATATTTCTCATCTCTTTCTCTGCAATTATTTAGATCCAAGAAAACAGCATGCTTGGACTACATTCCTTTAGTTAAAAATGATATAATAATTTTTTTTAAACCCTCCCTGGAATAAGTTAGTGATTTTATCATGGGTAAATACAAAATGTCCATGAACATGCCTGCATATTTTATGACTGATGAAGGTTCAGTCCATTACATTCAGCATAAACCACAGATTTTTCTGAACCATAGTCTTTTTTTCCTTCTCTGTTTTCTTTTATGGGTCAAAATGACTCTATTAAATATCCTCATTTCCTTTTACCATAGTGATGGGAAAGATATACATTATGGCCATTAAGATAAAAATACTCAAGTCATGTAATTGCTCCTGGGAAGTGGAGAGAGAGAAGGGAAAAGTGAATCTTTTTAGAAATCTAATATAGTATCGATATATGGTTTTAGTCCACCAACATCACTTCCTTTGGGAACACCCACTTTTCTCCACTCTAGTTGGGTCTTGTGAATTGCCAATCACGGGCCTTGCCTTTATGACCACAGAGCAGGGCAAATGGCTCATGCTTGGACAAACAGATTCTCTCTCCCGGGTATTTGACTCTTGATTGGAAAAGCACAATGCCTGAGGCTTGTTGAAGCCGACTCATCTGATATTAATACTTCAAATAGTCGATGACTTCTTGCTGCTAACATCCCTGGTGCTGTACCAGTCTCTGTCTTTCCTTTAAACTTTTCTGCATATATACCCCTAAAAGAATTTTGAAAAATTATATATATCATTATATACGACATTTTTAATGTCATCTAAAATTTTTCAACATGAGTCTGTTTTCTCGTAAGGAATGTCATTTTTAGTGCATTGTAGATACTATACTGACTTTTAAAATAAAATAAAACTATTATATTGGTCTTTTAAATATCCAAAAGAGTATAAGTACCAAAACAATTTGAGACCCATCACTGGCATTTAAAAACATACATATATATGCACAAATGTCTTGTTAACATTTGGAAATTGTATCTTCCTTTTTCTCCTTGAACTTATAGTTCCATTACATATTCCCGCAGAATTCCATTCTATCTTTATACTAGAAAACCTTTAGCTGATCATTCCATCCTAGTTTTCTGCCACAAAAATATATATAATATGAAACCAGTCTTTTAT